TTACTTTGGTGAAGTGATGTAATTCATTCCTTTTCTACATGTATTTGATCATTGTGATGTTCCCACTGAGTCAAAACCATTTGTACAAAACTGTTGCAATAGTTGACAATAAACTTAGCACAATTGGGGTATCAAGGATTATGATGACAAAACTTGAAAATGTAGGAATCTTGTTTTTTGGGCCTGCCTTGTTTTTTGGCCCGATCACATTAGATTCGGAATCTGCGGAGGATGTCATCCATAAATTTTACTTGCTGTGGCCTAATAAGGCCTGAATGTGGAACAGGCTAACTAAGCAGTCACGTTACTGTTCATCACATCCTTAGTAGTATTACACTGAGTCAGCAACAGCAGCTGTATCAGACAGACGGATCCAAGATGTACCTGTCACGCCGGCAGTGTACAGGCATGTTTGTTCTGTTCGTCACAGTAGTTCTGAATCATACCAAGTTTGGGCACAAAATGTACAACCACAGTGCTGCAAACTATATGTTGGACATGACGGAAACTGAAAATTGCAAAGATGACCATTTCTCTGTCTGGGCAAAGTCTGGGTGATTTTACATGTACATGCAGAAATAAATTTGTACCTGAGGAATGAATTAATGGCAGGTGCAATTTTGAGGAATTTTCAAAGTCGACGGCTAAAAGCAAATATACACATATACAGCAACAGAATAGTTAATCAAACTATGTTTCAGATTTATGATAATTCACTATAAAGTCTTTGAAATACTCTTCTATCAAAATCTATCAGATCAAATTTTGAGTAAAAAAAAAAGACAAACATCGTCAAACTTCATTGTGATTCTACGAAACAGACGAGGGCAACCAAAAAGCCAGACCCTGAACCCTGAATACCTGCATGTATCGGCTTGTAAAAATGGACTTAGAGAAAAAAAGGACCTCGACCTTTTCAAAAAGACAACCGTGCCCTTTGAGGAGCCTCTATTGTCAAAGCCCTGGGTGAGAATTAAGGCCGCATTAGAAATGGCATTGCCCAAACCGCACCGTAGTTTCCGGCCGGGTTCTGGAGAAGCCCTGTGCAGACCGCTAACGGCGGGGCGGGATCAGCACGGGATATCCCGCGCTTTTCTACTAAGGTCGTCTGACCTTTCGCACGACTTTTATAGCACCCCATCATCACATGTGACATTTTGGAAAGTGGGATCAGTGTGATAAAAATACCCCCGGCCGGTGGCTCAAAAAGATCCCACCTCCATTTGAGGATCATTGTAGCCAATTGGAGGTCTAAATAAAGTGGTCTCCATACCTTAGAACACGAGTGAGTGCGTATCGTATGATTGGGGGCTTCAAGTGAACACCAAGAGTGCGTCACTCAACTGCGCTGTATTACAACTATTGTAGGGATGAAAGAAACGGATTACCGAATAGAATGTGTGAAGAATCACGTACATGTGTTTTTTCCGAAGCTAAAGCCCACATAATTACGTGGATTTGGAAGAACGAAAGATGTATCGTTACATGCATATACATGTATGTGTTGAAATGTGATCTCACGATGTGAGAAACTAAATTAAATCATAAACTAGATCATACGGGTAGAATTGGAGCCCTATAACCTCCTTGACTAGATCAAGGTCCTTGACTAGATGTAGTTTTATCCTAATTCCTTACGTACTCAATCTGTGATGAGGATAGTAAGTGGACTTTCAAGCTCTCAAGGACTCTAAGTGTGGTACTCTATGTTGCAGCAATACCCTTGACTGGTGATCATACTAAGGTGTAACACAGTGGTTACAAAATCAGGTGGCCTGGCTTTAGCTTTTTGCTTTAACTTTCAGCAATGGGTAAGTTATCAATAACAATGAAACCAATTATATATAATCTGTAGTCAAGAAACGATCAAAAGGAACGAAATGCCCCCCCCCCCAACCTTGAACGATAACAAAACTTGACATCAACTCTCCAGGTACGACTATTTTTGATGTAACTAACACAGGCCTTCTCAGAAGTCGTGTCTTTTGGACGAGTTTCCATTTATCTAACCCCCTCTACATTTTTCTCTCTCAATAAACCCTGACCTCGTAGTTGACCCCTAACAGGTGTTGTATGGAAGATAATGTTTTGCCTGAGCTCAGGTGACATAACTGCCCCTCCCCTTTTCCTTAGTAAAAGTGACAGGACCTGTGATATATTGCAGCGGTTAAGGTGTAAGTGTACTATAACGTTACAACCAGTATCCATATATAGTTCAGTATGTAGTACATAGACACTGTGAGTAAACGTGTCAGTGTGTTGTATGTACACTAGTGGGGTAAGGTCGTGACAATATTAGGTCGTCTTTTTATTGTATTTCCTTTACTCACGGCTCAGTAAGAAGATGCGAATATTTCTGCAGTACTAACCTGGTATCCAGTCTAATTGTGGTTGTGGCATAGTACTTGGGGCAGGCTGTCTTCGGGGCTCTAATACTATAGTTTCCCCCGGCCTAGTACAACAGGACGCCAGGTAGGAGCTAATAGAGATGGCATGCCCGGGAATTGATTTGCCTCACCTGGGCCTAATCAAAGTACTAGGATCCTGCCGTGAAAAATCTACCGGGGGAACCTAGCTGAGTCGGGCGGGGAAGAACCCCTGCAGCCCCGAAGAAAACCCGCCCAACCACGATAGACTGGATTATAGTGGATACCAAGTTTAAGTACAGGTAAAATCAATAGTAGAAATACGGAAATAATGGCAATCTTGAATAAAACTAATCAAGAGCGACTCAAAAATAAAATAAACAATAAAATGGTTTAATCAGCAATTTAATGAATGCCATGAGAATTTTAATTTTGCGGTTCAACCAATGAGAATGCGGCCGCATGTCCGTTGAATATTTGCACTTTCATGTTTACATATTTTGCATATTTTCTACGTTTTGAAAGAGGTGGGTGTTGCTTTGGGATCGATCTAGATCTATTCAACGCTGGCGTACGTGGAAAACCGCGTCTGAACCAAATCCTGTGTTGGACGAAAACTCTGTCAGCAAATAGATGTCAAAAACAGGATTCCCAACATTGCGCAGTGTCCCACCCTGACCCGAACTCTGACTGTACGTGCGTCCCAAACACGGGTTAGTATGACCTGTCATCCAGACCATCCTTCCGGCGGACTTCTCCGTTATACTACTCTGTACAGCGTACATGGTATGGTGCCAATCATGCACATGTCAATGTAAACACAAGCATGGCAGGCGGGGTCATGCGTAAAAACATTTTTGACACCCTCGCCAAATATTAGAGGAATGTTTTGCCAAATCACTTCATAATCTATATTAAATTCAATATTGTTCCATCAACAAGTGTGTTCGCTCCTTAGCTCACGATATATAGTCAACATTATGCGTCTACCCCTGTTGGATTAATAGTGATAGATACTTACGTCTTTTAGTGTAAGGTGAAGTTCATCTTCTTCACACTATCTTTGTGTACACTTGCCAAGTTTTGGTAACGTTATCGGTTGTGTACAAAACTAGAGTCAGTCGAAGTGGATAGTTTGAACACGAATTCCTCTCCATTTCGTGTGTCTACAGAAATGTTTGTGTGGGATTCCTGCACCGTGTACAGTACATAAATCGCCTGACTGACATTCCGTGATTGCGTGTGACATAACATTCACGGTCTCTTGTTTCGTTTGAAAACTGCACTTCTTCTATTGACCGCAAGATGTCGCTCGTAACATGGACTGCCATCTGACTACCCAGCGATGATTTAAGTGCTTAATCTTACTCATTGAGGGTTGCTTGACAAGCAATAGAAATCGAGAAATTAAACAGTCGTCGTTTGCAAATTAATGTTGTAGTTTACTAGTATACCACAGATTTTTTCTCTTAGTCCTTACGAAAGCGCACCTATTCACACGGTGTCGTCTCAGAATTTATCAAATGCTTGATGTCTAGTACCGTACATATATGCAACAGGACGTTGTGTGTGTACAATTATCAATTATGTGCACAATCTTGTTTGACCCGAGTGATCTGTTGTTGGAGTAACAAGCACCCGGGCCTTCCGAGAAGAGGACAAGAAGAAAACATCATAGCAGATTGATTGATTGATTCATGCAGAATTCATTCCATTTCCACGCGGCCGATCTAATAGTCTTCAAAGCTCTCGGGGCGGTAAACAATCTTTGCCATCCATTTGAGGTACATTTCTAAGAATAGTTCAGGTAGTTGGGGAGGGGAGATCGTTTTCTGTGGTAAGATATGACGCTACATTCCACCTGTTACCCTGTGCGATACTTTTCCTGTCTTTTCCCACAAGTCAACTAGATACTACAGGGTGCAAGACAGGAAACTCTAGTAACGTTTTTAACATACTACTAGTATTAACTACTTGAACCCCAGTGTTCCCATGGTATATTGTTTCATAACTTTGGCGTGTGTGGGGAAATGTTGTGGCTCTGGGTAATGAAACTTTTATGAGTAACGGTTAGCCTCTACCAGGCTTCGAGAAGCGGCTGGAAAAAGTAACAATTGGCCAAAAAACGCAAAATACAGTATGCTAGGGGAGTTGGTCCGCACTAAAAGAACAGTTTGTCGCTCCCGATAGCTACATGTATACGGTTATAACCGGTACATTGTCCACGTTGAACCATAAAAGTATGTACAAGCCCACGTGTGATACGTGTGTATCGTCGTGCACCACTTCCTCTCTGATGGTGATTCACCTGCGGTGACCGGTGAACCATTCACGGCGATGCCTTCTTAGAAGAAGAAGAAAAGCGATTACCCCAAATGCGGATACTAGTAACTCGGCTGCGTAATTTATGATAGTGGGGGTCTGCGTTTGTACTAACCCCAGACCATACCATCCAAAAGCAGGTTGCACCCACTAATCTCCAAGCAGATCTTACGATGGCCGCAAAAGGCAGTATCAAATTTGACGGCAGTATCCATTAGCCAGACATTATCTATTGGCCTCCTTCGGTTCAATAATAGGACAATATGATACATTTGTGACATATGTACTTTCAAGAGAACGACAGGAACATTGGCAAATATTGATTGTGTAAATGACGACCTACGACGCATGATTAATAGATAGTTGATGTAATTTTATAGTGCTGTGAATTTAATGCTTGCCATATTTGGAAGTTCAATAAGGTCAGCATCACCTAAAATGATTCACTCAACTCATTTGCATAATTTATGAGGAAATGCTAGAATAGACTGCATTGGGTGCCAAATATGATAAGCTGATATAATTCATGCAAACGAGGATCTTATTTACATAATCTTCCAAATAACAGCTCATCGTCAGGGTTTATTTACAAAAACAACGTATATCTATAAACTCTAAATCTACTAAATAAAGATAACTGAAATGTATTTTCCATTTGAATAAGCCAGAAGCAGAGCGCATGTAGTCAGACCATCATGAAGATGTGGATTCAGGTTGGCTATAATTTCTCAGAAAAGAAAGTTGGGATTGTGTTCTCGCCGCAAAAGCGCCACCTACGTATAGCGGTGAGAAGCAGAACTCCAGTTAGAAGCTCAGAGGAAGGTGTCTGATAGACACCGAAACGTAAGCAAGGTTGGTCGAGCTTGGTTGTGTAAAAGAAAACTCCTGTATCCAAGTAAGTTCTTTCTAATCTGTTTAGTTTAAACGCTTCTGTCACTGTCTCTATCCCCCAGTTTAACATCAGGATCAGGCAGGAGGTTGTTGTTGTCCAAAAGGTCGATCTTTTCCAGCTCAACCTTCGCGCTCTCCAAGTCGAGGCTGAGGTTTTCAAAACTTGGCCGTGTTGGGAACGTGAACGCCGGCCGGTCGTCTGTGGTCTCTCGCACCCGGGTTATCAAAGAGTGGACCGTCTGTAAAAGAAAAGAAATTTTCCGTTGACGATTTAAACAGCAATTATTTCTTGATATATATATGCGTGCGTGCGTGCGTGCGTGTGTGTGTGTGTGTGTCTGTAACTAAAGAAGGCTTTGGATTGTCTTGATATTAGATAGGTGGGTAGGTTTTGATGAGAACTCAAAACAGTTTGATTCTGGTCCCCTAGCGACTTATTATGGTACTGCAGCGGAACATCCTGTTTTGATATTTGGACATGGTAGGATCATGAATTTTGTGCTCGGTCGGAAACAAGTGACACGAGTTTGTACCCCTTAGCACCTTGTTCTGGAACTGCAGGGGTGTTTTCTTGGTGAGAGGCATGTTTGAATCATTGTTGTGCTACGTTTTATCCAATCATCAGTTAGCTAACAATGGTAATATTCAGCTCCACCTACCTGGAGAAAAGTGGCATGGTCCTGTTCCTTGAGCGCTTCCCTGCTGAACTCCACAAGGCCTTCTCCTATTGGTTGGCTTCAAAGAAGACCGAATGAGTGAGGTTGTTGTGTAATATAAAAATTTTTCTATTGCCGTAGTATGTAATGGTTAGCCGACCGAAGATTGGTACTGCCGTTTCCAGAATGGCACTTATTTGGAATGGATCAGATTCGGGTTGGTTCAACTTACTTAGAACAGAAATGACTAGAAAATTTACTTTTTGCACCGTCCTAATGTTACCTAAAGTAGCTTTAAAAGAATAAAGAAACTGTTTAAAGAAATTTCCACCGTTTTGTACCGACCTTTTTTTTTATCTAAAGCACATAAAGGAAATACAAGACTGCGAACATGGAATACCTGTAATTAAGAAAGACATAATACTACATAAAGATAACACAGAAATGTACACAAACAAACAATATAAAGAAGGCATGTTGGGGACAAATTAGATATAACTAAATGCGCCCCCCCCCCCTGGCATTTCAAGGACTCACGTGCAATATGCTAAATGTTGTAAGTGTACGAAACGGTTACTGTACGGACCTTTACGCTGTTGTTCCTTGTAAGCCGTGATCTGGTCCTCCAGCACACACAGCTTCTTCTCCATCTCACGGTACACCGTTCCCAGCATGCTCCGCTCCCGCTGCTCGATCAGCTGATGCAGCTCCGTGCACCGACTGTGGACCTCCTCCACCAGCTGCAGGCCGTTCACCTGGGCAGAAAATGAGAAAAAAAAGCTATCTGTCACCAAAAATCCAAGGCCATAACATATTCAGGACAAAAGATACCAAAAACGGAAGTTCTGCTGCAGTACCATGGTCAGCCACCAGGAGGCTGACCTTGGTACCATAGACCATACTTGACCTTGACCTTTGTCTTCCCATGACCTACCTACAGACTAAATATCATCACAATCTGTGAAGGCGTTATGAAGTTATGCTGACTACAAATGTGCGGAAACACACACACACACACACACACACACACACACACACACACACACACACACACACACACACACACACACACACACACACACACACACACACACACACACACACACACACGAACTCAAGAAGTCCGTATACATACCTGTACAGTACCACATGCTTTGGACAGTCGCTTCACAAAGTTGTCTATCTCTGAATTCCGTTCTTTCAGGCCGCGAACGCTGCTTTCCAGATCATCCTAGTAAAACACCATGATGCAAAGGATAAACACATTTGAGTCAATTTTGACTCCCGCAAAACACGCACGGAAACTGTTGGTTGACACCTATTTCCGAAGACCAGCCAAGCATGACCAAACCTCCCGTCGGCACACCCGGATGTTTTAAGAATTTTGAAAGATATTCAGCCGAACAGTAGCCGGGTTGTTCGGTAGTCTTACGTGGCAATGGCTTTAAAGATTTGATAACGCCTACAAAGTTGACTCTGGGTCACTGTGTTCTGACCTACCTTAGTTGCCTGGCAGGCATGGGTGAGGTCCGACCTGTCATGGCCCCGGTGCCTTCCCGACCGGTCGCACTGCATACAGATGGCGGTCTGGCACGACGAGCAGTAGATCGTCACAGTCTCCCCGTGCTCTGCACACCTGATCCTCTCCTCCTCCTCCAGCTCGGGTTTCCTGAGCGTGTGTCTGGCCAGGTTCCCTCTGGGCGGGTGAACCACGGGCAGGCACCGCGAGCAGTACGCCAGGCGGCACTCTAAACACGTCCTGGCCGCCGCCGACGAACCCACACAAAAATCACACAGAACAAGCTTGCCCTCGAACTCGCTCACAGACATCTTCTTCCTCTCCCTCTCCTTATCTTTCAGATAACCCTTCACAATGTTCTGGAGTAGAAAGTTCCTCGGCAGATCGTCCACCCCGCCCTTATTAAGGCTCGTTTCCTGCCCACACTGCGGGCAGCTGACAACGTTAACGTCTGCCGTCGCCTCACCAATATTCTCATTTTCTTGGTTTCTCTCCAGTCCTTCGGCGAGTTTCCTCACACACATCAGGCAGAAGCTGTGGTGACATGTTAGCAAAACGGGGGAACTGTAGAAATCGGAGCAGACGACACATGTTAGTTCTCCTGCTAGTGCGGACGCCATCTTGGATTTGCCCTGAGGCACAAGTAGTCTGCTCGCTAACAGGTGGTTGATAACTGCGAAAACAGGAACTACAGGATGCCTACTCTAAACTATGCAGTGGAAACGAGAAAACGGTATAATCCAAATTGTACACGTGGTACGTTATTGGTTGACATAGACGATGTTGCGACGGACGCACCAATGAGCGACAACCTCTCAACTGACAGTGAACTGCTGGGTATGCACCTTTAATTGATAGGCGGTTTGAGCTGAAAGAACACTTTACACGACCACTCGCGTCGTAAATCATCATGGTACGTCTTTGAAAATATAGTGTCTGATTAAAATCTGATTGCTTACACCAAAGTGATGTTTTCGTTTAAAACGATAGGTGGCGCGCGTGCATGGGATAGACCCTGGAACGTTTGACTTTAGTTTTTCGAAACGGCATGAGTGACACATCCAGCTTTTCCATCTTGTAAGAAAGATACAAAACTATGTTTAAAACATATTGTACGCTTGCTTAAACCACAAATGATTTAGCAGTCGACCATTAACGCCTGGTGTGATTATCAAAGACAGTGGCCTTTTCTACAAAATATTCCTCCGCGCACTGGTATATACACCATCACTCTGCTGTCTCAGTCCACAATAAGATATAACAGATACGGAGAGTTTCTTTGGTAGGACATAAAGCCTCTCTAGATCTGCTGATTGTTCTTCTTCTGCTAAACATTCCCTGGTCACAACATAATTTTTCAAGCAAAAAAAAATACAAATGATTTTCCGAAATTAAGGACAGGGACTACATTCGTGACATCGCATACCGCTGACTGCACATGCGCCAAGTGACGTCTGTTCAGAACCCAGACGCTAATGAGACTGACCACACCCACTGCGCACGGAGAGGTCCGGCAAGACTGTCTGATTTTGCGTCCGTTTGTGACTGTACATTTGCCCAGGAAGAAACACTGCAAAAAAGGTTGGTTTGTCTCCTGGTTCTTTTCCTTTTGAACACCTGGCAACATAGCAACATTAAATAATGATAAAAATATATGTAATGTCAGCTTTGAACAGTTGTCAACATAATAGCATCAACAGTTTCTTACTGTTGTCTTGTATTCCTTCGTGTTTAGGACAGATAAGTTGAGCGTGTCTCGATATACAAATAAATATAGCGCGTGTATGGTATTGAAAATTTTGACTAAAACTGAATGGTTGCCGGCGTCCTCTTCTGCCAAGGTTTGTGTCCAAACATTTTCTTGAGAACTCTCACAAAAAAACTACCAATGCGCACACAGTGGTAATAGAATGCTGAAAAAGCGTACTTTCACATGTCCAAAGCAAGAACTTAGCATTTGTCTACTATCTAAGTCTGACTTAAACAGAGATAGATGACGTGTCAAGAAGAAAATCTGCTGTATTAAGATTTCTAAAGGTAGATTAGTCTACTAATGGTTCGGTACTTGTAAGGGTGAATCAGCAGGAAAATATGCAAGGCCGGCTTTGGTCAAGCCGACGCTTGATATCAAAAGTAGCCACTATTTTGTTATTGACGACACTTACCTGTTTTTTTAAAGTTTTATAACGTTCAACGCTTGACACACCCGCTTGACAACATTTTCTCAGTAACCTGTACAATACTCATGCAGAGATAGCTCTTTCTTGCCATATACGGTACGTTCTATCCGCCAATCGCCTTTCACATACCCAGATACCCTGGTCTAAATCAGGTATGGGGGAGGGGCAATGATACGAATTCTCAAGGACACGCATGTACAAGGAACGGTTGATGTTTAGACTTATAACTAGTAAATGTAAGTCAGAAACATAAATATAAGGTTGGCGTAGGACAAATACCATCCGATATCAACTGGTTACCTTTTGCTGTTGCTATTGCATTTTGAAAATACCGTTGAGCTGAGCTATGTATCAATCAATACATGAGTTTATAAACCTGCAGATTCTGAAATCTCTCCAGTTTCACTCACGACAGGTAGTGGATGCTACCTGAAACGTTAGCCCGGGTGCCATCCGATTTGTTACGGCAACCCCGAAAAAGGCACCCAGGCTACTGCACGTCTGACCGTTTCCAAAATCATATCCAGTTGCTTGAGTAACTGCTTTTTGGCGAATCTTATTACCTGGATGTCTAACGTTCACCGCATACTACAAAAGCGTAAAAAGCGTAACTTTTCTTGTTGGAGAGAACTTTGTTTTCACTTGCGTGACACTATTTTATCTTCGTTTTTCACAGGAAATGGAAAGACAACTACTTCTTTTTCTTTTCATCATGTCGATGGGATGTGGAATAACCGCAAATAAAAAACCTACAGTGGTGGGTTTTCAAAGACTAGGCCAAGGCAGCATGCTTCTACTGCGTGGAAAGTCACTGCATTTGGAATGTAAAGCATCGGGAATTCCTAAACCAGACATCACAGTCATTCTCCCATCCGGACAAAAGGCAACTATTGAGTCAGATGGGAGAGTTATTGTGAAAAAGAATGGTACCATTATCATTACGGATCCTACTTCAGCAGATTCTGGTCCGTATGTTTGCATTGCAGATAATTCTTTTGGCTCTTCGTCTTCTACACTCTTTGTTGAGATTGAATTTCAAACAGCGGTAATATCAACGCCCTCTCCCCTTGGTAGTACAGGCAGCCCTGTAGTTACAGCTTCAACATTTGCCTTAACACGGCCTTTAGGCTCCGCACTTTCCACACGGTCTGCTGATGGTAAAATGCCATCAGCGATATCAACAGTTTCACAGCTTCACAATTCCGCAGTGCCTGACGACAGAATTACTTTGAGTTTTCAGAGAAACAAGAATAACACGTTAGTTTTGGGGGACACTCTCCGTTTGGTCTGTGAAGCTTCAGGAATCCCTGCCCCAAACATCATGGTCATTTTCCCATCTGGACTCAACACAAGCGTTGGGTCAAGTAGGAGAGTAACTGTAGAGGTGAATGGTACAGTAACCCTGACAATAACAGATGTTACAGCGGCAGATGCTGGTCTGTACCGCTGCAGTGCAGTAAGTCCCGTTGGCTCCACATCTGTCACACTATCTGTTGACATCAAAGCCCCGTTTTCAGTTCCCCCTCCCCAGTTTGCTTCGTCTGCGTCCCTCCCACCTGGCAATAAGACAGAAAGCAATATTGACCCGGTATTCTTCTCTTTGGTAAATGGTTTTAGTTCATTTACTGGAGTCCTGATTATTTCTGGCATTGTTTTAACTTTGTTTCGGCATAGGTCCGAAAAACCTCCTTTAGTTTTAGTCTCACCCACTGTCAATGCTAACAATATGAACACAACTTCAAACTTAAATGGGCAGAGTAGATCGGCAACGACAAACGACCAGGATGTGATATATGAGAATGACCATGAAGTAGGTGCACCTGAACAAGCTAATGTATACGAGAACAGTAATGCAGCAGGTCAACAATGTAATGACGATGAAAACGACACGTATGAGAAGGACTTTGAGAAAACAGTGTCTACAACCTCTCAGACCATCGCTCAGTATGGTAGTCAGAAAGCAACAGCTACTTCTCATGTTAACAATCAGTATGGAACTAATGATTATGAACATCCGGAAGTAGAAGCAACGTCTCGGTTAAACAGTCAGTATGGAAATAATGAAGTAGCTGATAATTCTCAGTTTAACAGTGGGTATGCAATTCAGGAAGTAGCTGATATAGCTTCTTCTCGCTTTAACCATGATTATGAAGATCAGGAAGTAACTGATCATTCTCAGTTTGACCATGAGTATGGAAACCAGGGAGGAGCTGCTAATTCTCAGTTTGATCATGAATATGGAAATCAGGAAGTACCTGATAATTCTCAATTTGATTATGATTATGGAAACCAGGAAGTAGCTGATACTGATATTTCACAGAGTAACAATCAGTATGAAACTCGGGAGGTAGCAGCTATTTCTCAGTTAAACAATTTATATGGTAGTCAGAATGTAGCAGGTATTTCTCAGTTTGATCTTGAGTATAGAAATCAGGAAGAAGCTGATAATTCTCAGTTTGACAATGAGTATAGCAGTCAGGAATTAGCTGATAATTATAATTCCCAGTTTGCACATGAGTATGGAATTCAAGAAGTATCTGATAATTCCCAGTTTGATAATGATCATGGAATTCAGGAAATAGCTGAAAATTCTCAGTTTGACCATGAGTATGGAAATCAGGAAGGAACTGATCACTCTCAATTTGATTATGAGTATGGAAACCAGGGAGTAGCTGATATTTCACAGTGTAACAATCAATATGAAACTCAGGAGATAGCAGCTACATGTACTTCTCAGTCAAACAATCTGTATGGGGATCGGGAAGTAGCGGATAATTCTCAATTCGATCATGAGTATGGAATTCAAGAAGTAGCTGATAATTCTCAGTTTGATCATGAGTATGGAAATTAGGAAGTAGCTGATAATTCTCACTTTTATATGAATATGAAAATCAGGAAGTAGCTGATAACTACTAACTATGAAAATTGCAATGGGAGAACTGCAGATACGAACAGTTCCTCGTCCAGTCTATGAAAATAATTATATTCAGTACCTGTAACGTTATATGTCAGATTTGTTGTATGAAGTTTATTGTAACATACATATTTGACATTTCGCCAGGCGTTCATGCAAATACGAGGAGTAGTTTTTTTGTTGCCAATCTTCTCTGTACATAATACTAGTATTCAGGTTTTTAAACATTTCGTAATATAGTAATGTTTTTCATATGAAAGGATAAATATTAATGTCATGAGAAGCTGAGTCTTGTATACGGCGTTCGGGTATGGAGATATAGAGTCTAAAAGAGAGAATCATAAGAAGCATTATTGATGTCAGAAAAAATGAATGAGTAAATATATAAAGTCATATATATCTTGTAGAATCTAATTCTATATCAATTATTTTTATTACACATAAAAACATGTTCATACACATCTCAGTAGGCAATTTTCTATGGCACCTTCATTGAAGTGGTTAGTATGGAGATTGGTCTGTAGTCACATTTGCTTTGTTGATCACCTTTTTCAAATTGTCGGATGAATTGTTGTGTCGGGAAGTAATGATTTAAAACTATTTCTAACTTATTCATCTGCATTTTATCATTATCTCCCATATAATTCAATCATTTACACAATGTACTGAGCAGGTTTGTAGGATGTGACAACCTCCGTATTATTATCACAAATAAAGCTTTCTAACAGCAACATTATAGACTCAGTGTTTCCTTTCTGTGTTTTTACATTGCACATTATGTCCGAGTTTCAAATATAGCATTTCTTCGTGTAGCCCGTACTTAGAAGGTCCCTTATCATTTTCCATCATGTGTTCTCCATAATAATCATTTTGAAGGGCCCTTATTTAACCTTAAAGTCTATGATATCCTAATTGCATTAAATTTGGTCTGCCACTGGGGACAGTCGCATACCTAGAGCAAAATGGCCATACTAGTTACGATTAAGACTCTGGCATTCCAAAACGTCTTTTTGCAAAACATTTTTGGAATGAACCACGAGTTTTGAAAGTACAACAGTATGTGTAAATAGTATGAGTATCTGACAAACGACCGTGACCCTTCCGCACGTGACCTCAGCACTCGTGACGATGGGGTCATCCAAGATGGCGGACGGTTGTGATGTGGCCCCGCTGATACACCACACAAACGGCAAGCCGTGCGCCCTCGGTGTTAGAAGAAGAAACTTCAGCCTGTCTGTGATCTGTGGCGTACTGTTGCTGTCGGCTGCCGTGTACTTTGTAGCGCAGGTCGTGTTTCCCTACGCCATCATTCGGTCCGAACAAGGGGAGCACCACGACTATGTAAACCCGCTGTTAAAGTTACCGAACTGGCTCGACAACGTTAACGACAAGAATGGCACGAAGAACAAGCCAACGCCGACAAACGTTTCCTTACAGGCGGCACAGGCGACACAGGCAGTAAAAATGACACAGGGAGGTGGAATAGTGGTGGAGAATAAGTTACAGATAGACAGCAGCGACAAGAACAACAACCCGGAAGTAAAAGTAAGTTGCGCAATGGCGACACGACATTGTCAATAGATCAATAGTCCAGAGTATAGAAAGACATTCGGCGTGGACAAATCCCACGTAATGTTCTTCCATTTAGACTTCGTTCTGAATCCATCGCTATGTTTGTGCCAGCGAAACTATTGTTTAATCGTGATAGCATACTGGCAATCAGACACCTATTTCCTCGACCAAACCACCTGTTATTGAGTAGGTCACATGTAACACTGATTTGTTTACATTCTTTATAGCTTTTGTAGGTTTCAGAAATAAGTCAAATAAGTCATATCAGATCGCCAAGTACAACATCATATATTGTAAGAAACTGACAAACCAGCTACCAGACAACCGTGAGCCTAGTCTAGTGTTTGTTTGTTTGTTTCTGTTTTATTTACCCCGGGTGGCCCATCTCAGTATCATGATGCTTATATGCGTCTTGTACTTTGTAGTGCACTTTAGCCCAATAGATATTCATGTAAACATGTACACTTGCGCACACAATGGATGGATTATATTTCGATTATTTCCACTGTGGCCGTGTGGTTTATTGTGTCGATGACTTACTCTACAGATGGACACTCCTGCACACCTTTACGTGTTGTCGAAAGAGGAGGCCGATAAAACCGGAGCCTATTGTCTGGACGGTTCTCCACCGGCGTACTACTTCAGAAAAGGTGAGAATGAACGCCTTTTCTGGCGTACTTTTCCATTACATCTGCCGTTGAATGTCTTGCACCACTTACGCATTTGACGCGATCACTACGTTTTTGTTTTGCATAATTTGCCTACGTCGTCCTACCATATAAGGCAGTGGTACTGGGCAGAAATCGTGGATTGTTTGGTTGGAGGGAGGCGGCGCATGCGTCAATCTCACCAGCTGCTACCAGCGAAGTTTTACCAACCTTGGCTCCAGTAAGGGCCTGAACCATCAGTAGGTACCGCCTCTTGTTACTTTTTGGAATTCATAGCTGTCTTTTTTTCCCGTTTTCTGTTGTTCTGAAAGATAATGATGATGCATACTGCTCATTTCAGGAAAACTCTTCATGGCATGTCGTCAGCATCGAAAGACGTGAATCCGGATTTTTATACCTGGAACGTCGCTTTGTTGGTCTACTGCGATGGGTTTTTCTACGCAGGTATGTTTCATTATGACACATATAGTACAGATGTGTGGTGTGTGTGTTTGTAGGCGCCCACGTGTGTACGTGTGTGCGTTTGTATTTGTGTGTTTTGTGTGTGCGTACGTGCGTGCGCGCGCGTGTGTGTGTACATGTATTTACGTGCCCCTATTTCTCCTTGTCTTGTAGGAAACAGGGAAGATCCAGTGAAGCACAGCGGCAAGTCCCTGTACTTCAGGGGCCGCCGGAACCTTAACGCACTGATTGACCGTCTGTTACAAACTGGACTGGGAGAAGCAGAACGAATGATCCTGGGCGGAGGATCGGGTAAGTATAATGATGAAAGTAGTACTAACAGAAAGAAGGAGTTATACTGGTACTCACGACAAATATCTCAGAGAAGCTTGTCCTTTCAGGTGGCATCCGCCATCTTTCTTCAGCTCATCACATAGGAGTTCACGTGACCTAGGTGTCAAAGGTCACCCAGGTCACGTGACTGGACGGGGGAGTTGTAGATCTAAGAACTAACAGGTTGCAGCCCTGATGTGTTCTTAAAAATTGTTTCTCTGCATACTGTAGGTTGTTTCCCGCCGAAAAAAACACGTGCACACGTCTTTTCTTGTGTAACTTTCGATAAAATTTCCCGTCTTTGGTTCAGCGGGAGCAATAGGGACGTACGCGGGTGCAGATGACGTCATAGCTCGCCTGCCCAGCTCGATTGACGTGAAGATCGTCCCGGACTCCGGCATGTTCATGGACCTCCCGGATAGGGACGGGGTGTACTCGTTCAACGACTCCTACACGTCGGTCACGGAACTGCACAACGCGTCAGGTAAGTCGGACGGTCTTTGATTTTTGTACATTTCCCCTCCTCTTTATACATTTCGTCTTTGAAATTGTCAGTATATACAATGCAAGTTTTGTTTAGTTAGTAGGCATCTTTACATATTGATCTTGATTGACTGACTAAAATTAGGAAAAATAGTCAGTTTACGTTGATTAAAATCAATGGGAAATCTGTGAAACCAATATACATGTACTCACTTCGGAGAGAGCAGAAACTTACATACAAACGGTGTTTCCAGCGTCTGCGAACAAAGCATGTCGGGAAGCTCATCCCCAGGATGAACAATGGAAGTGCGGCTTCCCGGAAAACCTCGTTCCCTACGAGCCGGCCCCTGTCTTCATGCTGAACTACCTGTACGACAAGGTGGCGCTGAAGGACGTCGTCAGAACCACCTGCCGTCCTGATCAGTGTACGGGGAAAGACATGGCCGCTGTGCAGAACTACCGAACGACTCTGTTACAGGTAGACATTATACTGATTGTTTTCATCTTTATACACGTGTTTGTTCCAAATCTTTGGCTTTACAAATATATAAAACATCTGTTACAGTAAATTATGCTTTTCAAATCAGTTTGAATCAAAATCGTTGGTTTTGAAATCGTCAATTACAAAAGAAAAATAAGACTTGAATAGCGAGTTTAAGAGAGTCTGCACGGGGCAGTTTTGAAGGAAATTGAAGCATATTGGAAAAGAAACGTTGTCAGTGCCAGCAAAGAAATAAGAATGAAACTAAATATACGGAATCGTTCCCTTGTGTCAGGTCGCCCAGTCGGAGCTTACCGAAAAAGATGGCGCCTTCCTCATCACGTGTTTCGCCCATGGCTTTGGCAATGACCACGCCTGGACAGAGTTCACGGTCAACAACAAGACGGTCCGGCAGGCTGTGGGTGACTGGTACTTCGGTAGGAGTAAAGACAACGTCAATGTCGATACGGGGCCAGACCTGAACCCTACATGCAGGAATTACTTGAGCAAGGACACAGAGATTCAGAGCCTGTGGGACTAGAATGTCAAGGCTTGTTGTTTGATTTTTCGTCTGAAATGACTACACTTTTAGCTATGCAAATACTAAGCAATAACGCTACTTTAAAGATATGTCATTTTCTTCGATTTCAGCCATGTGTCTTGCCTAAAGGACCCATAAGTGATACACAGTGTTACTTGAATAGTTGAATTATTAGTTTTTTAAGGTTAGAACCTTTAATTCAATATGTACATTACCAAGCTATTTCATTTGCATTCAAGGGGGTAAGTGGTATTGCTTTTGTTGCAAACGTTAGCGTGCAATAAACTTCCTAGTAGCGTTCTGCCAAATCCATGCCCGATCTCGCCTTGCCCGTACACGCGCGCCATCTACCGATTCATATGATTTATGAAAATGTCATCATGGAAAGTGGTGGGAATGAGCACTAGTAAACTAATATCGTTTAATCAAGGAACCTCCTTGGTTTAATAAATGGACAAATATGACAGATTTTGCTTTGATCAATGCCTAAAAATCATTCATACAAACTCGATCAGACGTTTCCTGTTGAATGTTGAATGTTGGATGTAAGGCCTGACATTAATGGTTTTATGCAACCTCGGCCAATGTCTTGCAGTACGTAAGTTGATCGCATGATGTCGCTGTGTATACATGTACGGCCATACATGGTTTCGGCCCTGCCAGTGTCGTTTGTTTCCATAATGCAGTGTAGCCAACATCACTAAAATTCCATCCACCCCTCCCCTGACATCAGAGTGACGTATTGTTGGCTTCGCTCATTCAGAAACTATTTCAACCTCGCCATCTTTTTTTCACTCCAACATTTTCCTCGCCCGGCCTATTTTTGCAGACGATTTTATCCCGGTCAGATGCCAGAAATACTGTACCGATCACCCGACATTTCAGACGACTTAATCCAATGGTTCTGCTAACATTGTCGGTGCCAAACTGGTGCGAAGTTGTCATGAAGCCATTGGTGGCCATGTGTGACGTTCTCCTGGCTTCTTGTGCTGAAAATAAAAACAATCTAACTAACACCTAAGTACTACTATCACCGATAGTAACCCCAGAAATCGTTTGCAGGTGTATTTATCAATGTAGATACTGCAAACACCTCTGTGCGAAAATATGGTGTTACTCCTAGTTAAATTTCCCTCCGTTTTAGGTTACAACTTTCAGGAACACGGGCCTTTAGTGGTAACTAGATCCGGAATAAATCAGCGCAAAACGATGTGTTGGTTTGGCCCACAGGTCGTTTTCGCGGGCTTTTGTGAAGGTTCAATATTTGTGGTGGGAAGAAAGAAATGACTGTCAGAAAGTGGCGCGTGGCGGAAAGCGTTTGATATGACTTTCCCGTCTTGTAGAAGGAGGGTCGACAAGGTTTTATTGAAATTGAAAAAGATATGACCGATACAACTTCTCCTTTTTTGTACTCGATACGTCAACTGATCAAGGCTTGGCTAAAATTTACCAAAATGATGAAAGGGTAAACCCTTCTGCTAATTTCATTTCAATTACTTGAAGTGTTGTGATACGTCTCTTTCCTGGCAGGCTCGATGAAACATCCGCCTGGCCTAGCCTAATCCAGAACTTCACTTGGCACTCAGTACCATCTTATTTGTATACCGGCCCATTACTGAGGCTCCCATTTTTAAATTCCAGTATACAGACAGGATGGCACTCAGGCTAGCGCTCTATATTCATTGAATATCATATTCAATCTTAATTAAAACCCGCTGTATGTTTCTTGAGGTCATTCCTTTGTAGAGATTGAAATCGAAAAGATCGACTTATAGCTATTGATAAGCTTTTGGCTGTGTTTAGTCATAACATGGAGCTATTATTTGTTATAGCTCCATGGTCATAAACATTTTGATTTCTCGGCAACCATTTTGAATAAAACCATCACAGTTCTTGACATAAACAGTAGAGAACGTATGCGCTCTGTTGTCTACAGGTCTGACATGCCTTTAATACTATATATAGCGGCTATTATAGCCAGAACTGAGGGAGGTTAGGAGTGGAGTAAGTCGTGTCTGTGATTTGTACACCAGCATGACCCGGGGTCAGGGTGGGAAGCCTGAGAGAAAATCTAATATTTGTCAGACGACAGTTTTCGGGAGGGTGCGACATGGCGGTGGCGCTTTTCATGTCGGGGAGCACACTCGCGCCATTCGCGCCAAAACGTCAGAAATTCACATCTATCTGACATCACGCGACAACAAATGTCGTAAAATAATTTTGCAATTTCATATAAACTATCATAAAAAATCATAAGTAGTTAAAGTACACATACATGATCGTTCAGGGTAGGGGATAGTCGACCATTTTTGTATCCTTGAGGAGGTAAAGTTTGACCAAGGAGTTAGTAGTCCTTAGTAGATTCTTAACCTTCTTGGGTTGACACAGAAGAAGTTCTCAAAACATAACGGTTTAGCATCCATCTGGTTGGAGATTGGGAGGGATGTACAGATACATGAAGTGTATGTGGATGTTTTTTCCCTTTCGTTTCTAATCTAAACCTCCTTGGTTCCACCAACATTTTATCTGCACATCATAAACATTTCAAGCATTTATGGTAGCGATTGTTCCCAACCCCCAAATATATCAAGGCATTTGCACACACCTTATGCCACTAATACACATATTCATATTACTCCGTACGTGACCGCTCCCCTCCCCCATTTCAAACATGTTTCCGAACATTTCACAATAGCATGGAAGCCTGTAGTTTCCAGCGACGGTGTCGGTGCCAAACTGGTGCGAAGTTGTCCTGAACCCATTGGTGGCCATGTGTGACGTTCTCCCGGCTTCTTCTCTTGAAATCGAGACATTTTCCTGACACCTATGTACTACTATCATCGTCAGATATCCGAGAAAGGTATATAGTGTTGCCTTTGCAGGTGCATGTTACTACAGACAAGTGATAAAAGAAAACAAGGACGTGTTTTTCAACACGAGGTGAAGAAACAAGATAGAAGGCATGACATCTTTTTAATAGAAGGCCTTCAGTTGTGAAAGATGGTACAAAATATTTCCAGTTTGAAAGAACGAGAAATATGAGACGACACGAAATATGAGGCTTGTGGATCAAACCCAACGTTGGTGGGATATTCTCGTGATACAAAAGGGTTTAATTTTCAGTCACATTTTTTTCTGGAGGAACAATATAAATTCAAATCTCTGCCTCCCAAACTACTTTGAAATCGCGGGCGCTGTGAGAACACTTCCTCCCTACCCCACCCTGATCGCAACATGACTCAGAACTTTGACACCAGCGTCCGTTTTGGCGCCTTTTTGCGAAAGTTCAATATTTGGAGAGGAGAAAGTGACGGTAAATTGGGACCTGGTTTAGCAACACTTTCATCTCTCGTGATGGGACGGTCAACACGGTTACCATGGTAACGCCATGGCGGGCGGACAGGGCTCGGGTTCCTGTATCGTCTGATGTGATAGTCCCCGGGCTGACTGGTACACGGGTTTATTTTCGTACCTTGTAAACAGATGACGTTATTTTGCATCGTTGCAATCAGAGGACAACGTTCAAAAGAAGGGTCACGTTGGTTTAGGTCTCTGAAGCGGGGAAATCAACAAAATACCATACAATTTACAAAGGAAAACTTGAGTGAGACTAAGGACATTATACATTAAAGCTCTCTATAATGTCCTTGGTGAGACCAAGGAGATAGTTCAAAGTTGTTCGTTTTTCACTCACATCCTGCTGAACGAAGTTTGGCAAATAGAAGTTATGTCAGACCAAGGTAGCCTCTACCAGGCTTAGCCTTTACCAGTCTTTAGAAGTGGCTGAAAAGAGTAGATGCCTTGGTCAATAGACAAGACAGATAACATGCCGAGGGAATCAGTCCACTATTAAGAGTACAGAGCGGCAAACTGCACTCCTTTAGTGGTGTTATCTGCATATACACAAGTAGTCAATTTCTACTATTTCCAGGCACTTCTGAAGCCTGGTAGAGGCTAAGAACAAGGTTTTCCCTATTGTAGACAACTAGGTTATATTACAAAGGACATCAGGACCAGAGGAAAGGGAGGACACGTGCACAGGAAAAGGTAGTAGGGCTCCTACCGTGAGAGGGGGAGGGGGTCTCTGGGAAGGAGGGGTGGGGGGTGGGGAGGTTGATGGGGCGGAACAAACTCCCGTCACACGCTGACAGCTATTATCGAGACCCTGCTTGTGGAGTAGGAGTATCCTGGTGGATATGTGTCCAAAGTGACCACCCCCTGTGTCGTTATGAAGTGAGATCGTGAGAACTAGAAAAAAGATGATTTCTGGCATGGTGGCTTATTTTTGGCGTCTTTTATGGTTTTTTGTTGGGGGTTCTTTTTCGCACTGGATTTTTTTCATTGCAGACAATACGACTGTTCTGTATTCCCCCAACTACAAAGGTATGATTGGCGTCTTTAATCTATCAAAGCCAAACTAGGTAGAACCCAACTTTTCTTACATTTTCTAGCATTTTTCTTACATATACACATGTAGTAGATATCACCATGGAGGTCTTTTAAATCCATGATATCACACAACTGAGATCTCCTAACGCTATATCGGTAAGCGTGCGGAAGGGATTTGAAAAGTGGGACCCGCAAACTTCACAAGAGCGGGACAATTTTACTTCAGCTGATTATCCGCCACTTGACATTTTATTGTTGCTTTGTTGTGCGCCATAAAGACCACAATAGCGACAATATCTCAGCTTCCTGAGAACTGTTTGTAAACAAACAAGGAGGCCGGCATGTCAGGCCCGTGAGAGTGCATCATGTATGTTGGTAGTTTTTGTTACAGATGAGGAAAGAAAAAAAAACACACAGCTGTTAGGATTGGAGGCTACTTGTAACGTCAGCAGAAGTGTGGAAACGGGAAAAGCGGTTGGAGAAGTTGCCTGGTTCCGTGGATTTGTCAGGGGGACGACAAGTGCGAAGTTTCTCACAGCCGGGTCAGATTCACCGCGGGACCGGCTAATGAGAACGGCCAAGTCCAGATGACTGGCACTTTGCCGTCAACTAGCGGCGACAAAGTGACAGGATGACAGGGACATGCATGACAAAGGCGTCGTACAACCGACAAAGGGACGGTGATGACAGGAGCTACGGGGAAAGGGCAACAAAATACTGAAAATTTCATAAGCTGTAATTCATATCTCAAAGGATCTATTTCATCTTTGACGCATGTAGAGAAGTGATAATTTTTACAACCTTTGTGTTATTTTGTTGTTTTAAAACTTCAGAAGAATAATTTCAAAGTTTAGGCGTATAACTTTGGGTCGTCAGTATCTATTTGTAAGTTTTGACGGCGATTTTACCACAGGAAAATAGAACAGGAAAGAAACATTTACGTCGGCCACCTTGGCCGGGCAAAAGCAAGGGACAAAAGTGATATTTCATCACGTCACACTTTTGCACACCAATCAAGAGCGGCAGTTGTCCGGTAGGGGGCGCGGCTTGAGTTAGCGACCACACTCCGGGCAGCCCTGCGCATACATTAGCGGCCGGCGAGTGACAAAGGCGAACCTGTGCTTCCCCGCCGGTATCTTCCCTCCATACACACACACACCGTGCATAAATACCGCTGCAGTGCTAATTCTTTCACCCAGTCTTTCCTTCGTGAGAACGTGAGAGTTTTCTCGACACTTTTCGAAACGTTTTTGGTCGAGAACGCACGCCTCGCGCGGAGACCAGCGCACACGTACAGATGAGTTCGGCGGAGACGATGAAGCAGACCGCGGCGACGCCGGACCAGTTCTCGGTGAGCCACCTCCTCAGCGCCGTGGAGAGCGAGATCTCGGCGGGGTCGGAGAAGGGCGACCCGACCGAGCGCGACCTGAAGATATCTCTGGAAGAAAAACCTCTGTGGGACAAGTTCAACGCCTTAACCAACGAGATGATCGTCACAAAAAACGGAAGGTACATACTGTTTTGATCCCTTTTTCAACGTCTTGCTATTACTTGTTGTTCTGTGTGTGTTGTTCTGTGCTAGTCCATCGGTGTGAAGTGCGAGTCATAACTAACACCTGTATGAGATTTTTTTACCACAAAATACTTACCGGTGTGTTGTAACTGATACCTAACGTTCTGGTGTTATGTCATCGACATATAGATATATTCATGATGTGTGTATCACAATACGATATGCATATGATATACAACCTTTTAAAAGTCCAGGTTCATGACTACAAGAAATATATAGCTTGGGTGCCATTCGTTTTGTAACGGGGTTCCTTGCAAGTTACACTGCCCAGAAATTATTGCACCCATTTTTTTTCGGGTCAGCGAGTGCAAGGAGCCCCGTTACAAAACGGATGGCATCCAGGCTAAGAAATCTTGAAGCATGAAACTATGTTTTTATAACGGTGGTAATACTAATACTAGTATGTATTGGTTCTCCCCTCCCAGACGCATGTTCCCCGTGCTGAAGGTGAACGTGTCCGGACTGGACCCTAACGCCATGTACTCCTTCCTGCTGGACTTCACGGCCGCCGACAACCACCGCTGGAAGTACGTCAACGGCGAGTGGGTTCCCGGCGGCAAGCCCGAGCCGTCCGTGCCGAGCTGCGTCTACATCCACCCGGACTCGCCCAACTTCGGCGCGCACTGGATGAAATCACCTGTGTCCTTCAGCAAGGTCAAACTCACCAACAAACTCAACGGAGGTGGACAGGTAAGCTAGCAGAATTCCACTCTTTCAATCTCCTACTATTATAGGTTATAATAATTTACTAGTGTTTGCAAGTTCATGCCCGAGGGCTATAATTTGCAGCAGGAAACAATGTATAGAAAGAGCATGCAGGTAGCTCAAGCTGATAAATTATGGTGAGAAGTGGAACAAGAGACTTTAAGAACTGCTACGGAATACAATGTAAGCTTTTTCATTTTTTTGTCATTGTAAGCTTTTACAAATAATATTATGTAAGCTTTTTCATTTTTTTTGTCATTGTCATTGTCTTTAATTGGGACGAAGTGTCCTTTTCTTCTCGCGATATTAAGATATATTCGCCCCTAGCTTTCATAAATTTGACAGACAGCATCTAGCCTAAAAGTGGACAGCTGTAGGTCCTGAAAATTAACTCGATAAAAGTTCGAATCCTATTAAAATCCTACAAAACGTACAGTGCAGGTAAAATCATTCTAATCCGGTCCTTTCAACTGTACTTCTTGTCTGGTCTATACGTTGACACATTATATCCTCTGTATAAAATTTACATCCGTGCAGGCTTACCTAATTGCCCAACCTCTCACAGCCATATTGTATACTAATTAGTGTGGGATTTTGTTGTGACTGTTGTGAGACGTGTAGTATTGTGTTCGGCACGTGGCGACACGTTTTTCTGATGTTATTATCATAATTGTGTTACATGTCAGGGTCTATAGTATACCTGTTACCCTGCCTAGTCCATTACATATGATTAAACATGAACAGTTCATTACACCCATTGTGGACGCGCTAAAATCTACATGTACATGTATACATTATACATGTTACAACGGGGTTGATGCTAAATACTTAGCAAGTACATGCATATAGTAGAGGCATAAAGCTAAACAACGGAGAAATAGACCTGAAGGTAGAAGCATGTTTTTTGAAAGTTTTCCGCCAGCTTCATTGCCACATTTTAGGGCTTTGCTATTTCTAACTTGTTTTTATGGACAAAACATAATCTTCCGGTAACCCAAACTGAGTTTATGATATGAGAACACTAAAGATGTTTCAGTATCACACTTTGTTATACATTTGTATTTTGCTTTACGTCTACTAGAATTCTAAAATGTCATTGAATTTTCGGTCACAAAATCATAAGAGTTTTATTAATTTTCTTTGGCTTCTTACATGTCGTCTTCTCGAAAAACCAGTAGGTATATGATTATGAGTATGAATATATATTATATTACATGTATGAGACGGTTTCTAACCCGTTGTCTGCCCTGTGTTTTGTTATAGCAGATCATGTTGAACAGTCTTCACAAGTACGAGCCCAGACTTCACATCATCAAGGTGGGCGGGCCGGATAACCAGCGCATGATCAGTACACACACCTTCCCGGAGACACAGTTCATAGCAGTTACTGCGTACCAAAATGAAGAGGTGAGAACATCCTTATACATCTATATACATGTACCTTTATTTTTCATCCACGAAGCACTTAACACTCTAATATCTTTATTGGTTGTATGTAAAATGTTTCACAAGTTGCTAATTTTGGTCATGCCTTTTTGTAATCTATTGTGTAAGTACATGTACAATGTACTACCAATGAGGTTAACTTCGTATTACAGTATATATTCAATATATCTTTTCGGATCATGTAAACGATGTTAAAGACACAAAAGTTCTTTACTACTTCTTTCTTACTATTTCTTCTTACACTGTTCTTATTTTTTTCTCAGATCACAGCTCTGAAGATCAAGTACAACCCTTTCGCCAAGGCTTTCTTGGACGCAAAAGAAAGGTAACTATTCTGAAACTTTTCGGACTTGCAACGTCATACTATAGTACAGTGTATGAATTTCTATTGTTTAACTGAGACTAAATAAAATGTTATGCTCCTTGTTATAATAACACCTTAACGTGACGTGTGTAGTTATGAGAAACATTTTTTCATAGTATATTTCCCTGATGCTATTTTTTATTGACAGAAGTGATGGAAAGGACGGATTAGAAGACTTGCAAGATCAACCACAATATTCCCAACGTAAGTGTGGTTTGCTTACATTGTATATCAACTTACAAGTAATATACGTGTGTATTCATTGCCTAAATTGTTTGGAAAGAGCGCTCGACACTTTGCCATTGTAAAACAAAATTCACTCCAAAGTTATACCTAGCAATCACATATAAAAGGATGTACAAAAGATATGTTTCTTTGATTTATTGAATAATTATTTTAAACTATGTCTATGAGGATTTAGAAAACCTCGACAGGCAACAATGCTCAAACAAAATCCGCCTGTATCTCTCTCCAGTCGGAGGCTGGTTCCTGCCCGGTACAGGTCCCATCTGCCCGCCGCCCAACCCTCACCAGTTCGCCCCGTCCCTCGGCCTGCCCAGTCACGGCTGTGATAGATACAGTACTCTGAGGAACCACCGCTCGGCGCCCTACCCGCACCCGTACCAGAGAAGCTCGCCTCCAAGTAAGTCCATCATTTCTCAGAACATGTTGTTGGCTGTTTACCGGGAAAGTTTACAATATTTGAGGGCGCCAGAGCTCGGCAGAAAGGCATGTTGTCGTGTTTCCTATCGGTTAGTACAATGCCGTTCTTAGCTAATGACAAGGCTGTTTAATTTGTTTTACGAAGTTCTGGTATGCGAGTCGGTTTCATGCAACTTGTGGTTTCTTCCTCGACTTGTCTTTGACATCATCCGACATTCATAATGGCGAAATTAATGCCCGTCGGTTAACTTTGGTCTGTTCAAGGAGATTTCAAAGATTGAACAATGTACCGTATTCTGTTTTATTACTGAGTATGTCAGTATGAACTGCCCAAGCTAAACGTTTTATAGGACAGGGTACTAAAACGGGAAAGCCGAGAGGTTGTTACCTTCACATCATCTTGATATCATTAAACGCCGAGTTTTATGTATTTTGCCCGTAAAAAGTTGGTTCTAATACAAGAATATTATTCCAATGTCAAGACTTAAAACCCCAGAGAATATAATGCACATCGCGTTGCGAACTATTAGAATCTCTTACAATAATTCAACAGAATTGCTGCGCATTTTTCTGTTCCCAATTATCCTGACGAAAGGTGGTTTTGAAGTCGATAGGAAGTGGCATAATTTGTTAGGAGCGGCCCGACCCACTACTCAAGCACTAAACGTCAGCAGAAAGGGTCTTTTAATGACGGTTATTTGGTCCGATATAGACACAACAAATTACCAGGTACATTAACGGAGGCTGGGCACCATTCAGGCCCGGAGACGTCTGGACATGTTCCCATCATCCCGGCTTTTGTCTTTCCCGACTCGGCTCTTAGTCAAACGAGGAAGCGACCGTGATGGTCCTTACACACGGCGGCAGACTGGGTTTTGTTTCAGTGATTGACAATTCTGTGGTTTTGGAAATGACTTTGATGTTTCGTGAGAAAGGATGGGACGTTCCTTGTTCTGATGCGTTGGTGGTCTTGTACCATGACGTCACGTATCCGCCCTGAAAATTGACGTCTGATAACAGGTCGATCTTTATCTGTTAATAGATGGTTGTTTATCTGTATTTTTACACCCGTTTTGTTGTTTTTCTCTTCAGCGAACTACGGCCACGACACGGCTGCCAGCCTTCCCATGATGCCGACGCACGACAACTGGTCCGGCCTGCCTGTCTCCACACACAACATGCTGTCCATGTCAGCCATGCCTCACACCACCACATCCACGCACGCGCAGTACCCCAACCTCTGGTCCGTCTCCAACAACAACCTGACGCCCACCACGCATGCGCAGACGCACATGTCCGGCACCATGGGCACGGGTCTGCCGCACCAGTTCCTGAGGACCACCGCGCCTGCGCCCTACCATTCCATCCCCACCTGCACGGTGCCGACCACGGCGTCCAGCTCTCCGGTGTACCACGACTCGCACGAGGTGTCTTCCACGGACAGCGGGTATGGCCACTCCACTACCCCGCCCGCCACGCAGACAAGGATACCCGCCAACAACTGGAGCCCCATGACTCCACCTTCACTGTAAAACAGAAAGTCCGAGCCACTCAGAAAGACTGAAAAATATTGTGCAAATTCAATATAAGCTCTATTTTATAGTTGTAAAAAATGCATGCGCTTTGCTTCATCTTGCCAAAGATACCCAGGTTTGATAGCCTGGGTGCCACCCATTTTGTATACGTGTAAAGGGGTACCTTATTGCACTCGCTACCCCGAAAAATGGATGGCTCCCAGGCTAAAGGTTGGAGTTTTTGACCCCAACTTTTGTACATTTAAAACCTGGAGTAATGTCCCTTCTCAGGTAGTTTGTTGCGGAAGTGCTGTCAGACAGATTCAAGATTGTATTATTACATGTACATAATTTTTACCAAAGCTGTGGTCTGTTGCTAGCTTTGTTATCTATATGAACCGTAGATTTTATTAAAAAATGAGTATTTTTGGAAGAAACGTTTGTATTTAAAGAAAGCCCAAGAGCATTTCTTATTTATCGATATTTCGTACCCTCGCTTGTTGTATTATCTGTATATAGTTGTACAGTTTGGGTGAGATTTTACACCACTTACTAGTATTATCGGAAGTAGTAAATTACGCTGCTCGCCTGACTAACTCGTCAACCTGTTACTTACCTGGATTACCCTTAATTGTGCAGACAAACAGATAGCAAGCCAGCACTTAAGGCACGTGTTAAAACACCTGCCGGCTATTTGAACTTTTAAGCCTCTCTATAACAGGTGATTCACACCAATACGCGAGACACTTCTGATAAAAGCTGCCACAGTCTGGTTTTACACCCAGTGCCAAGAGAAAAACTTCCGTCACTTTTGTATTTCAGTATCAGCTTGGCGACAAGAACACTCGAGAATTGCGAAGGGACAATCAGCTGTTGTGTCGTACCTTTTGTAAACGTAGCTTTTCTACCTGTTGTCAGAAAAAGGAGAGTTAATAAAGACGTATGCTGTGCAGTTTGTTTGGTACAGAAAGAAGTCCCATCGTTGTGACATGTTTGTGTAGTTTGTGCGGCGGGTGTGTTTGCGATCTCTCTGCTCCCTCGCAGGTGCAGTGCTCACCCGACCCCTACTTCATATTTACACTTCGCGATAGGGTACAAAATACTGGCTTTGTTTGCCGATACTTCAATTCAAAGTAATTGGACTTTCAAGAATGAAGCGGGTCAAGTAGACATACTGGCACTGTTTCTAAACAAGGGCCACGAATTCGGGGGGCATTTCTGAAGTAACTCGCGTTATTCCGTTGGCATGAAGTCTGAAGTGGGGATCTGCGAGCAAAGTTTCCCCGGGGAATTCGAGAAATGCCGTGCGGGGATTTTGTTGACAGCGACATACAATTGTATCGCACATACAAGAGATTAAGAGATAATCTGGTTGACACTAACCCTTGTTCGTTTAGAAATTGATAAAGTTTATTGCTCACACCTGGAGGGTACGGTGCGTGGGCCACTTGCGCAATACCAGATGTGGGCAAAAATACTCCCTGGGAGGGCTAGTCTCCAAGCAAAGGTTTGGGTTTTGGCTTATTTTTGCCGTGCTTTTAGGCTTTTTTTAATCGGGGTTTCTTTTTTTTGCACTGGAATTTTTTTCACAAAAAAGAAACCCCGATATAAAAGCCTAAAGACACGCCAAAAATAACCCAAAACCCAAACCTCTGCTTGAAGAGTAGGAGGGCTACGGCAACCCGTGTCAGTAGGTGTGATGGGAAAGATTTTTTTTGTATTTCCAGACCTTAACGTAAAGGGAATAAGAGATTTTCTGTCAATTCATGTTGCGATAATTCCTTGTGAGTTATATGATAAGGCAACGTATGCAAGAAAATCGGCATTTGTTAAAATTGGAACCTTTGACAAGAAGAATTGAAAATCTTAGAAGAATTAAAACTATTTATTTCCCGAAAGCGTCTATTTTTGCACCTACATGTTGAAACAAAGGTCGTCATTTTCTCTTTATGTTCCTGGTTTGTTTTGATTTCGAAACTGCCAGTTCTGTCTTGGACATGGACACGATAGATTCGTCCATACAAAAAGAAAATATGGTGAATGAGTGACTTCAGAAATTATGTTGGACTATTGTTTTAACCAGTCAAGTGCAAACGGATAACCAGGGTCAGATGTTAACAAACACATCGCTCTTCCCCCATCTATGTGCGCTCTTGGCCGTCCGTCCTTACACTGTCGTGCAAATGTCGGGACAAATTCGTGCCTTTGATATGCCCCGAACCGCCCCTCAGTACGACATATGTCGGCACAACTTCACATGTCCATGCGGAGCGTGGTTAACAAAGCACTGGACGTGTTCATGCATTATTACAAGGTGCGAGGCGGGTCGTCCCTTTGTTCTATCTTGTCCCTGCCTTCTTTCTATGGATTGTTCTACGTATGCGCTTTATACCCACAGGTCTCTCCCGTGAATAGGTGTAGATGTCCTCTCTAGAGACATTTAACTTGATATTGACATCTCTGGCTAGTTTCCCAAGGGAGCATCTTCATACACGCTTCATGTTCTAATCAATTAGCAGTGTCTAATTAAGTCCCCCACTGCCTTCCGTGTGCCCAGCTTCCTCGCTAATCGACTGTATATAAAAGAAGTTGTTTTTCACGATGAATCCCTGGGATAACCTTACAGGCTAACGACGTGCGGAGTTCGGGGGCCTTGATGACGTTTGCACACTTCTTTGTATATGATTGACGTTTGTTTGACCTCGTTCGCACCTTGCTAGCGGGTCCGCGGTGACGACAAACAAGCGTGGCCGCCGGTGGGTTTACCAACAACAGATGGGGACTGGCAGGACGGAGGTAGTCTCCAACTGCAGGCACGGGAGAGCAGGGGAAACTAGCCTCTATCAGGCTTCAGAGTCGGCTAGATGGAGCGGCAAACTGTAGTCATTTAGCGGGCTATCACTACTAGTATCATAGCGAATTTCTACTCTTTCCAGGCGCCTCTGAAGCCTGGTACAGGCTACCATTGCATGGACCATAAGCCTAGGTTTTCAGGGACCTTAAGACTATCAATATTTTCTCTACGCAAGATAAACGACAACTCTTTCTTATATCTTTTTACTGACAGGAATAACGAAAATTGACCTGAAATTTGAGGGTACGTACTTTCGGCTTTATAAAGAATATGCTGGTACATCTTTGCCATTCCTCTTAGAGCATACTGGCACACCCTGACATAACTGAGAAATTTTTGAATTACATAGCGAGCTTTCATTCGTATACGTTTGGAAATGTGTGGTAATGTGATATTTACAACTTTAGCTTTCAGACATAGTCAAAATTCTTGATCTCCATATTCAGTTTTAATTGACTCGTTCAGCGTTTGCAATTTCGCATTTTGGAGGAATGTCTTCTTTTTCTCATGTCTTCGAGATTCAAGTCTTAAGTAAAGCAAAACTTTGTCTTAGTAGGACCACTCTAGTACAAAATGTACACTGTTTTCGTACCATGAGTTTCGTTCAAGTGGAGGGGTTGGTTTTTAACAGTTTGATGATCGCAAACTTTCACGATCAAACTTCACCTCACTGAAACGCCCATTAGAAACAGTCGCACCTCACAGTTAAAATACTAAATACCGATCTACCAGAAACACGCCAAAACTTCCCACTTTCTTCACAGGAACCTGTTGAACGATACATTACCATGTATGGACCGTTAGAAGCTACATGGTATATGCGTAAAATATCAGGAACGAAGAAGAAACTATAGGGTCGCATTTACAGGTTAGAAGGTCGAGCGAGTACATGTTTTATTATGTATCAAAGACATGTGGAATATGCTATATATAGTCCAAAAGTTTTGATTTATGGATAGTACAAAACACAATATTGTTGGGGATTATGTGGAAGACATTCTGAAACAAGTACTCGGTTGTGCCCACCAACGCTCGGGCTTTAGTCGCAGTGGACAAATAGCCGTAGGCAAAAGTAGCGAGCTCAATTAACAGTGTCAATATTAACACAGGTGCAGGCGGGGAAGAAGCTGAAACACATGTTCATTCCCTTACATTGCAACGGGTCTGTTTTTCAAAGCTGCGGTACAACACTGCAAAAAAACAGAGAGGGAAACAATGTTACTTATAATTTACAAGTGCTTGATTATGTCTAATTGTGACATTTATATACAAGTTATAACAATGATAAGGAATGAAAAAACAATTAATATACCTTTTC